CACACACACACACACACACACACACACACACACACACACACACACACACACACACACACACACACACAATTTATATATAAGGCGCAAAAAAAAAAAAAAAAATCGACCTACCACTGGAATGGCTCACAGTCAGCAAGCGTTCCTTTACACTCCGTTCAACTCCAATGATTTATTGAATTGTTTACGCTTTTAATAAATAAAAGACGGGAACACTTAATCCCCCTGGCGACCTTGACAGTGACCTTCCATTCGATCGGAAAAAAGGTCGAGAATGCGTGCTCAATGTATATTATGAGCTGGAAACTGGTCGATTATTATTTTTATTGGATAATTATTGCCTGTCTCTCATTTGTGTCACTCCGTTGGCTTATTGTGTCTAGCTATGTGACTCGGCTCTTTATTCGGTATGTCTTATTCTCTTACGGTGTGCTTTGTGTGCGTGAATTATGCTCGTTGTTTAGGTTTCTTTTTTAAAAGAGTTTTGATAGGATGTTTATTGTTTATTTACGAGTGGCGGTAGCTTGGTACGTTATAGTCTTATTCACCCATTTTTTGTACTATTTGCTGTGTTTTGCTGTGTCTGCGCTGCGTCTCATGCTGTAGTATCATGGTGTTATATGTGAGGTGTTTTATGTTGTGTACAATGCAAAGTTGTGGAGGCAATAATGCATTTTGTATTTACTGGATATTTATCTTGTCTGAAAATTGTCCTGTGCTTGTAGAACTATTTGGGATTTCTCTCTGTCTCTGTCTGTCTGTCTGTCTCTCTCTCTCTCTCTCTCTCTCTCTCTCTCTCTCTCTCTCTCTCTCTCTCTCTCTCTCTCTCTCTCTCTCTCTCTCTCTCTATCTCTGTTTGTTTCTTTCTTAGTCTCACTCTCGCTCCCCATTCAAAAAAAAAAATGGATTAATGAAAGAAGGCAACACCCGTTCGCACTCACGATAAACGCGATGACGGCCCCGACAGAATAATTGGAAACAGGCCAAAAGTAACGTAAACTTCTTCCCACATACCCAGTTCGGGGTCTCTGGTTTGATTCATTACGAGGCTGTTTGATGGAAGAAAGCAATCAATAAGAGAGAGAGGGGGGGAGGGGGGGAGGGAGAGGATGAGGGAGAGGGAGAGGGAGAGGGAGGGGGAAGGAGAGGGAGAGGGAGATGGGGATGGGAGGGAGAGGGAGATGG